TGACTTGAAACATAAACATTATCGTATAAAAGTAATAATAGTTGCAAAATCAAGTTTTAGAATTTTCCGAAGAAGTTGGATATGTTGTACTGTTCTGCAGGGACGAATTATTTTTAAATTTTCCGAGTAGTGGGACGTGAATCATCTTACTATATATATACGCTGACCGGCAAAAAAACCAGCCACCCTGAAAAATTTCGCAAAATCAAACTTTAAAAATTATTAATTTAACTAGTGATCGTTATTTTATTAAAGAACCATTCACTATTAACAAATGATGTACAAATTAGCAAAAAAAGAAGACAAATAAACGCAGAATTAAATTAAGTTTAACAAAACAGAAACAGCGACAATTTGAGAGACGTGTGTAAGAGTTAACGGCATTGTTTTCGCGTGAAAACGTTTATTAACTGCCAAACTTATAATCAAATGATGAAAAATACTGTTCACAGCAACAGCCTCCTTTATTGTTTTATTTAAGAAAATATCGTACTTGGTCTGTTTTGTTATTTTGTTAAATTTAATTTACTTCTGCGTTTATATATCTTCTTTTTTTGCTAATTAATTACAACATGTATCAATAGTGAATGGTACTTTAATAAAATAACGATCACTAGTTAAATTAATAATTTTTAAAGTGGTTTTGTGAAATTTTGCAATTTTTTTGCCGGTCGGTGTAGATGGTAGTTATTTTTTTTTGTTACTGTTCATTTACACTTTGACGTTTTGGTATTTTGTTCGTATAAGTTGAACCTTTTAAAGAATATTTTTCATTTAATATATTTTTTTATGTTAAATTATTATTATGTATTATGTTAAATTTTAACTTATTAAATTGTATTCCCTCTGTCCGAAAATATGGTATACATTTTACAAAATTATTATAATTAACCAGTGATGACCAGCAAACTATAATCAAGTAATTTTGTTTGCAACTTGTATAATAATGGAACATCATATAAATAGTGGACTGAGATCTACGTTCGTTTCTGTTAAAAAAGTGACCAAGAAAATTACTATAATAACAACAAAATAAATCGACACAAGAATAATTAAATTAAATAAATTATTTATTATAATAAGTAAGGTTACCAATGAGATTGCTATGTTCCCCAGATGCTCTAAATAAAGTCCCATTGCATATACATTGAAATGTATTGTCTTTATAATAGTGTTATTAAATAAAGTTACAAATGTATACCATAATTTCGGACAAAAATAAATTTAAAATGTACACCATATTTTCGGACGCAAAATTAAATTTTGTTGTCGACAACTCGACACGATGTTCCCCTGACTTATTCGTAACCTTGAGCCTTGAAGTGGTAAAATCTACCTCCACCAGTGTGAAACATGAAATTGATATCTTTGGCGGCCTGGCGGCGTTCCTTCACTCTGCTGGAAATACGTCAAGATACGGAGTTGGACGACGGTACCCGAACTAAGTTGAATCTTTCTGTGTTTGCTTTGCCCCCCGAAAATGTTTACGTCCCTCAGAATGCACAGATGTCACAGTCCGAGAAACGAATGAATGGCTTGACTAAAACATCCTGTATTAGTGGCCAAAGCCCGTATTTCTGAAGGCGTAGAGTGAAAAACTTCTTCGGAATTTATTTTTACAAATAATATGACATTTCAAATGAAATTTTTTCATTGCCGTCCTTCTTGCATTCTCTAATTCTTGCCAAATCTCGCAAAATACCCTAGATTTCGAAATTTCATAGTTTTGATTAAAAAGGCACAAAGTGAAAAAAATACGGTATGATTACATCCGATTGTGGAGGAGTTAAGGTCCTCTACAATACTTTTACTTGTGTACCAAATTTCAATGAGTGCTGATAAATCGTTCTGGAAATATTTAGCTGTACTCATACTTTCGGTAAAAATATGTAGAATTGAAATTACATTTTTTTAAGATTTCACATTTTTATCACTGACGATGAATGAATAACACAAACAATTTCACAGCATACTTACGCATTTATATCAGTCAAACTGTTGTGCAGCTGTTAAGATAAACTTGTTGCTTAAAATCGTTCCACCACAGAGCCATTGTAAATCTCCAGGAGTTGGTTCGTATCTAGCTGCGGCCTATCACAAAAAAAAAATAATCGATCACAATAAAAATTATAAGTGATTTCAAAAAACGTGTATTCGTGATTCTAAACTTTCAATTAACAATTTCTTTTATAAGACATACTGTTTACATGGCTTTAGGTTTAAATTAATTATTGCGTTGACATCAAACGCTTCTCTGCCTACGAATTAGAGGTTGGTAAGTTAATATGTAAACTATGAGTAGAAATAATCAAGTTTTATAGAAGGGTGTATATAATTTTTAGGGCATACTTTTTAGAAACATTGCTGTTTATCACTTGGAAATATCGTTCTTTTTAACAAAATAATAATAGTACGACGCCTATGGGTTTTCTAGTATGTGCGGTGATTATGGGTGACTCATCGGCGCCGAACGGCGTTCGCTAAAGAAAAGCCTGGAACGGGAAGTCGCGATGAGTGTTCCAGAACAAACCTAGAAGCGGTGAGGGAGACCTCTCGAGAAGGACCGCGCGGCTGTTTAAATGGGAACCACCGTCGAGAGCAGTTAGTGTAGTCCAGGTAATGGAAGAAGTAGAGTCTAGTCAAATCCATTCCAGTCGGAATTATTCTGTACATAATCGTTGTGTCATTACAATTAGTCGTGTATAATATTATAAATTGTTGAGTTTACCCATGCCGATTTTAATCATCGATCAGAGTAACAGTATCTTATATGAAACTTAGTTTATACTTAGTTCAAAAGTGTATTAATTTTTTGTTGAAATTTTCTCACCATGTGTGGAAATTCTTTTCGCTCAGCTGCCACACCACCTGCAATAATTAGTTGTAAGGCATCTGGTGACTCATGCACATAACGAGAGTACTCTCCACATTCTGAAATAACAAATGCACAAATATATTTTTTACTTTCCGAGCATGAGCAAACGAAATATTTTAATCGAGTCACTTACTTTAATACTTTTTTACAACGATTTTTGCCAAATTTTATATACCCATTATATGTATTTACTATGGGTTTCAAATTTTATAAAATATACTCCTACGCGTGCAGTTTATGAATCCATGTTGAGTTTTTACTAGGGCATCCAAATTTCAGGAAAAAAATCAAAATTGTTTTAACAACAATTGGTAGGATTCCTTACGAGACATTACCAGTTTAACAAACATCTACATACGATAGGGGTGGTAACAGATCCAATCTGTCGTGGATGCAATGAAGAAGAGGAAACAGCTGAGCACATTCTTCGTGAGTGTCCAGCCCTAGCCTCCTACAGGGAATCCATACTAGGGGACACCTGGCCTAGTATGGCAAAAATCAGGGAGTTTCCATCCTCTGCATTACTCAAGTACATTCAAGCAGTTGGGTGGCTTGATGAGTAGAGGAGCGGGAAAACACCCTGATATGGACTTGGGGAAGGTACAATGGGCCCAAAGGCGAGGCCTAAGTGCCGGCTAGCTACGGTCAGCCCCCATAAATTAAGAATCCAGAATCCAGAATCCAGAGTTACATATGAGATATGTATTTTGTGTTGCATTGAAATTTGGTCAGTTATAATACTCACTCTGTATATTTTCCCACCAATGTATTGGCAACGTTGTCATAAATGTGTATCAAGGAAGTCCCTCGGTACATGTAGCACAATATCCTGCTTTATGTGTCGTTTAATAATAACCCGTCCTAATTTTTATTTAATAACTACGAGTATATAAGGATTGTCACAAATACATCTACTATCTTAACAAACTTAACAAATTTACTTTAATCTATTCATATCACTCACCTTATAGTTTTAATTACCTACATCACTTCATTAGATGGCATTTGCTATGTTTTCAGACTCTGTTTTTTCCTTCATAAAATGTTCACCACACTATTTACTTGCTTTTATTTCACACTACGTACGTAGTTTTATCGAATTCAGTAACTTTAGTACTGTTATTACGTTTGCTGTTGGGGTATCTATATACAATATTATGTAATTTCCGATGTATACTCCATTTTTTCCATTTGTTACTCTAAAATAAGTAATATTTTAAATTTACGTGTAATTTCCATAATAATAAAGCAAGCCCACAGTCGATAATTTCCTTTTAAATTACGGGAATAAACTAATAACGGTAACGTAATAATTGTAAAGCAAGTAGGTATGTGTTTATCGTTAGCTAGAAATCGAGAGACATATTACATCCTACAATTGAAATATACGAACAGTAAAATAATCATTCATACAAAAGTCACAAAAGGACTTTTATGAAATTATTCTGTAACAAAACTCTTAGTAACCAGCATTTGCAACTTTTGTTTCAACAATTATTTTTAACATAAAAACGGTTGATAAACGCCTTCGGTGAACACAATCGCAGACTACACGCTGAACTTTTTCAGGTAAGTTTCTAAAAATTTTGTTAAACAAATGCTTCTTTATTTCCATAGCATATGTTTTGTTTTGATGTCACCAAAGCAAATATCTTTATCGCACAACTAATAACTAGCATTTACTAGTAACACGCGTGCCAAAATTTGTACAATTAATATGAGAAAAATTAAAACTAAAAAGTTAGTTCAGAAAATGACAAAACTTTCTACTAAAACACGTGATACAAAATTGTTGCCAAAAATTTTATTTTGCCTGAGAACCAAACTGTATTCACTGTGATGAGACGTTCGTTATAAATATTATGTGAATACACTATTATATGAATATGTGATTATTTTTGACTGGGTGGTGTATTATGATATTAGGCAACTATAACTCAAATTAATGTAAATTTTAAATAAGTTCATTATTTCTGCTACATGTGAGGCAAGTATAAATTATTCTTTTAGGTTATCAACATGGATGACGTTAATAATAAAATTATAATATGTAGATCAACAAGAAGATACTTGAGATATATTTTACTATGGCCCTATCCTGACGAAGAACTCAAGTCAGGAAATTATTATACACTCCAGGTTGGGGTTTACATTTTTGTAACTTCTATTACATCTTTATCTATACTAATACATTTAATAACCACAACTATAAGTACTACTGGATACACAGTGCAATTTTTCTTAATATCTGGACATTTTTTAGAAAATTTGGAAGTGCCGGTGATGGAAGATGTCACTCTTGTGGCATCGATTACAGGAATATACTACATGACATTTATTTACGTGAAAAATCAACCAAAATTAGCAAATCTTTTAAAAGCAATGTCAAATTTTCAAAGTTTTGGAAAACCAACTAATTTTGATCAAAAGGAAAAAAAATTGAATTTTCTATCTAAAGTTGTTTTTATTTATCTCACAGTTGGCTTGACGCAGTACATTGCACTGAAATTTAATCAAAGAGAAGAGTGTGAGGAAAGGAATAAAAACCAAGGTCTTAGAGAAAATTGTGGATATATGGCACAATTGTGGACTCCTTTTAGTACACAGAATATTGTTGTTTATTATTCGTTTCATGTACACGTATTTCTCTCCATGCAGTTGTTAATGAAACCCAACATGTTACTAACGTATCATGCTTTCGAAATTACAGAACATTTGATTTTAAGGATTGAACATTTAAATCAGATGTTGCATGAATGTTTTGACAACGTGGATTATAATTTTTCTCGCTCTAGACTATCTAAATGTATTTTGTATCAAACAGATATACTGAAGTGAGATTTTACAAAATACGTCACCTGGTAAACTGATTTTGATACACAACGATTTTACAAATTAAATTGAACGAGTATTTCTTTACAATCTAGTTAACAGTAGGAAAAATTTATAGGGAATTAAGAAATGTTTTTAAGTCAACCTCTAGTCAGTTCGTAGATACGAAAAAATAAAACTCTAAAATATCATTGTTTAAAGTCAAAATTATCATTCTTTTGAAAAGAGTATTTTGTTTTGTTTGAAACTATAATTTTATAATTCCCAGGTCATATAAATAAATAATTATGTATTATTACATAGCTTCTTCTCAGTTATAATTATAGTTATTTTATAATTTTTTATAGTATTACTTTCGCAAGACCGCTTTTAAAGGTCACTTACATTTTTTTTCACGAGTTTCTTGTATAAGAATGAACTGAGAGAATATGTTAATAATTGTTTTTTAATTCACGTCTAAAATGCTTATGTATCAAAATTAGTTTGCCATCCGGCATACTTCTGCAATAAAACATTTTTTTTAGTTTGGCTAAATCACTGGATGAATGCTTTTCGAATGGAATGTTGACTCATATCACTATTACTGCAATAATTTGCGCTTGCATAGGAAAACAGTTTACTGAAGTATACGAAAGTACAAGTATTTTGCAACAAAACATTCTTAATATTTTAGGGTGATTATCTATGTGCTATAATACATTTTTCCGGCTGGATTTTTACTCTAGTGTTTGCCTGCTTTTCGGGGCAACAGTTAATTAATGCCGTAAGTTACAAGCTTTTATAAAATTTTTATAACAGCTGTTTCTTTTAGAGTGAATCTATTCCTACAGCTATATGGTTTTCAAAATGGTATGAAGTGGATATTAAACTGCAACGTGAAGTTTTGTTTGTATTGGCAAGATCTCAAAAAATTTTCTATCTCACTGCTGGCCCTTTTAATGTTCTTTGTTTTCCTCTATTTGTTTCGGTAAAATTTGGAATAGTCGATACATATGTAATTATAGTTTTTGCAGGTGGTCAAAATGTCGTATTCAATGCTTTGTTTATTAACAAAATAAAATAGCCAGCTACAATTCGTCAGTACGAATATACACAACTGTTGAGGATTCAGTTAGTTAGTTTAAGTACGAAAAAAATATTCTTTATAAAAGTTTTCCCTAGCTTTCTGTAGTATTAAAACCATAAACTTCAAGGTCTTTCTCTTCCTTCTAAAAGAAAATTTAGGCAATAGTAGGTAGTATTTTGGAATAATACTTAATTAAAAATACACATGCGCTTCCTGCACTATAATCGATTCTTTGCAAAGGTATCATCATCTATTTTACAAGCATATTGACAGCTTCTTGTTAATAAATTATTGAAACCAAAAATACTTTAACTGACTGCGGATAAAGGTTTTGTTAGCGCTTAGGATGGTTTATCCTTTAGTCCCTGCTGTAAATATGTCCACTAAGACGACTGTACCTGCTTAGTTCTACCACAACTTTTTCGTTTCATTCATATAATAGTAAGAATGGTTAATTTAAAAAATTGGTCGAAAGTTATTTCGGCAGAACTTCCCCCCCTCTTTAAGGACAATGAAACATATCCAGCATTTTCGAAAAATAATAAAACTTGATTATGTGAATTTAATTTTTTTATGACAAAAGTCTGCTGGGCGTGCGTTCCAAATGAATTTTCCCTTAACAAAATTTTGTGATGACGTCATCAACATTTTTGAAAAAACACGTACATCACTTTGGATAGGTGCAGTGTAATACTAAGGATAACAGTATTGTATTCCCAAATTTTAGGGAAAATGGAGTGAGCCGTTCCTGATTTAATCAATAAAATATATTAACTCTTTCATTAATTTTTCTGGATCAATTTAAAAACTTTTAATGCAATGATAAATTACAAGAATAGACTTATCATATTTTGAATATTTTGGACAGGAGTTATTCAGCAAAATTTTGAGATGACGTCAATAATTTTTTTGGAGGAGATAAACGAATAAATTTGGCTTAACGATTTACCATGCTTACGATAACCTTAAAATATTTGCAAGATTTCAGAGCAAACGGTATTGCAGTTACAAAGTTATATTGTCATTCAGTTTTAAATTTTTTCCAAAAATTTTGAATGGCTAGAGTGAAAATTCAACACGGATTCACATACCACAAGTGCAAGAGTATCTTATTTAAACAAATTTAAAAAACTTTTTATTATAAATTTTGGGAACGACGTCATCCCATTGGTGGTGGGGATGATTATCCAAATTTTATTTAGTATTTGACCATCTACATGACATTCCTAATATACAAAAAAATATGACAATACTCGGAGTTAGTTTCGGAAATTACTTGATAATAAAAATGGATACAGACACGAAGCAGACAGACAGACGGAAGCGGTAGACCACTTTTTCCTATTCTAGAGGTTATAATACATCGAGAAAACCTGAAAGTGGCAATTCGGTCGATGGACTCAGTTACTATACTTCCTTAGCTTACGCTCGGGAAGTAAAAAGACAGTTGGAACCCCCGAAAAGCTTTCACAAAAAAAAGGCATTTGGCGCTCCTGAGAAGGTTTTACATTATTAAATCAAGAGGGGCGTATTCTCACCTTTTCGGGAAAGTGGGGTAACAACATCAATAAAAAAACTGTTATGACGTCATAAACATAAATAATATACAATGCCAGAGGAAAAGAGAAAAAAACGAAAAAAAAAACGGCCAAGAATCGAACACGCGATGTCGGTCCGCATTCCTGACTCGTAACCACTAGAGCACGATCAGGATGCTTTACGCTAATGGTTTTGATTTCGGTCTGGTTGCAGCAACATCGGAGTATTCAGAGTTCTATTTCGGCTTAAAAATACTACGTGTTCGCGAATTTTTAATTTACTGTTAATAAATATTTGTGAAAATGTTTTGGGTTAGTGCTGTGAACAGGAAGGAAAGTGGATATTTTCCTTAAAAGGCTCAAAAACAGGCAAAGTACCAGTCAAAGCGGATAGCTTTTCCGAGAAATAAATAATATTTAAACATAATTAACATTATTTATACTGTTTAAATGTGATAAGTATTATTATGAAATAATTAAACCGAAAACCATTTTCCTACAAACATCAAGTTATTAAAAAGAATTCAATTTGTTCAAACATTGTTAAATTAACACCGAAAAGTTGCAATTTTCCGGTCAAAAAATGAAAAATAATTTCCGCAATCTCATCGTGACGTACGATGACGTCACTGTCACGTGAGCTACCTGAACAAAGGTCACAATTTCGGTCCTTGGTGTTCAGTTTTGATATCCATCTGATGGCGACAACTTTGGCGTGTCGTTTTGACGGAAAAGTAACACGTTTTTGCGATTTTTTAATTTATTGTTAATAAATATTATTGAAAATGTTTCACATTAGTGTTGTGAACACGACGGACATTTTTCCAAAAATGCCCGAATTTTCTTTCATGTTATTTAAAAAATATGCCATTAGAATATGCAAAGTACTGCGTTCATAATTCATAAAATACCATGTCCACAATTTTTAAAGGACTATTTCGAAATTTATAAAGTGCGGCATCCAACATCTATAAAGTACTGTATAATGTTCCATCCCTTATTAGCAAATCCTAGCCCTCTCCTTTCCAGACAAGACCTGCTTCAGACCTTCTCGTGGTTCTTGCTGAGCATCAACGATCCAGGCCAAAAAAATTCAAATACTTCGAGTCAGCAAAGTTGCCCAAAATTCGTGAAATTCGCTCGTTGGTGGCCAACGTGGAGCAAGAGAGGCTTTTACAACTGAAGCATTTATACTGTTTAAATATGATAAGGATAAACATGTCATAATTAAACCGAAAGCACGTCTAGGAAATGCTTCAATGTCGGTCATTTCAAGACGAGAAAAAAACATTTTTTCTTATGAAAGTTTATTTAAATTGTAGTCTACTTTTTTTTAAATTGGTCTGCGAAAATCGAGTGAGCGGTTCCATCAATTTTTTGGGGGGAATAAATAAATATTCTTAACAATATACCATGCTTACAATATCTTTAAAACGTCTTCAAGATCTCAAAGTATTCATTTCTGCAACTCTTCAGTTATTCACTAAAATAAATTGACTGATCCATAATTTTTTTTGAGTCACTAAAAGAAAATCTAAAAAATATGAATGCAATGATAAATTACGAAAATATACTGCTGATATCTTGCGCATTTTAGATAGGATTTATTCGACAAAATCTTGAGATGGGGTCATCAAGTTTTTGGGCTTGATAAACAAGTATATTTTGATTAAAAACCTATCATGGCAAACAGTAACTTCAAAACGTCTGCAATATTTCAAAATTCAGTTTTGCAATTCTTGATTCAATCAATAAAAGAAATTGACTCAGTGATTAATTTTTTTGAGACACCCCCTATAAGCAAAACTAAAAAATATGAATTGTATGATAAATCACAAGTATAGTCTCATCCTATTTTGGACATTTTAGATAGGATTCATTTGGCAAAATTTTGGGCTGACGTCATCAATTTTTTGGAGGGGATAAGTATATATATTATGAATAAAAATTTATTATGTTTATCATATGTTTGAAACATCTGCAAGATTTCAAAGCATTCGATTTTGCATATTCAAAATTAAATTGTAGGTGAAACGAAGTTCACGGGGTCAGCTAGTAATAAATAAAATTTGTATCACATAATTATTACCATTTTAACTCCTGTCTGTTTCAATTTGCTATTTCAAGCTTAATATCAACCAATGAGGCAAAAATTGTATTATTGAATTAATTTTTTTATTACTTTCGAAGCGCCAGCTATTTTATTTGTGTTAAGTAAATCCTTATAAGTACTAAAGATTTCATACTATAATGTACATCATTTTTTAATTACATGAGCACCAAAACCTGTATCTTTATAGTCTTGGGATAAATAACTTACCGGCCGTATACAGATGAAATTCCTTCGAAGAGTGCATGTGATGCCGTAATCGATTAGCAGCTTTAATAAATAATAGGGACACGCATCATCACGACCCACTGGTTCTCTCATATCATTATGAAGTATTAATTTTGATCAATAAAATTTATAGCAAAAATTCAGTGAGAACTATACTAATTGTTTTTAGAAGTACATGTGTTTTTTAACGTTTTTCTCGGGGGCGGTATAGAAATCTGATAAGCTCTTCACAAGTTAAAGTTTATTCAGACGGTTTTTAAACTCGATGCTTGAAAGCTTATCTGATATAAGGGGATATAAAACTAATTTATATTTGATTCGTAAACTTTTTGTTTTACTAGAGACACTAACCGCTAGTTTTAATATACCCATTACTTTGTATAACATAATTAAATTCAGAACTATATTCAGATTCGGCGACATTTTAAAAATTGCTTAAAAAAAAACTGTTTATGGAAATCAATATCCTATAACAAACGAATAAACTTATAAATAATTGAGTGGATGTCCGAAGACCCAATAAAAAGACTGTCATTTATTCATCACGATATGTAAAATTGTATGTGTGTGTTTTTTTAAAATAAAACAAGAGTTACTAGAGGTGGACTAGTTATTTAAGGTTTCCCGACTAAATTTGTAGCCGTCGTGCCGTCGGTGTTTTTACAAAACGTTCAGAATTGTAAGTGTGGGATTTCCATGTCTGGAATTAGTTCTAGGTAATTATTTTTTGTGAAACTTCTGTTTCGGAAATACTGACATCTATTATTAAATGTTTAAAGTCGATCTGTTCCTTGAAAGTTACCATAACTTAATGTACACCATAACAGTTTTTACGTCCAGTTTCTCCCACAAACAGGCATCTTTTAAAATATATTAAGCACCAATATCATTTTACTTGTACGTTAATATGTGTAAGTCCATAATTTCGCATCGTATAATAGATAGTATTTCGTATGAAGATAATGACCCAGAAGGAAGCGTCCTTAGTGAACTTTTTAACTAAATTCAATGCAATTTTTTGGGGGCTTGGAAATATTTGTCATGCTAATGAGGTATGATATGAGTTTGGAAGATCATCTGTATAAGTCGATATACAGAAGACAGATAGACGGAAAAGGGAGATATATCCTACTATGTATAG